AAAGTCCTCTTCCTATTCTTGCCCTCTTTCTCCCTCAGACTCTTGGGAGCTGAATTTGAAATCTTTAAGCTGTAAGTGGACGGGGCGCATCCCCTTAAACTGCCAGTTTTCCAGCTTTTCTTATTGCCGAATTAGCAATTTTCCCGCCAAAACCTTTACGCACTCGTTTGTGGGGCGCAGAACCCCTATTCTCCCATATTTAAAAGTTGCGGGAGAATCTAAAGCATGCTTTTCCTTTCCGGTATGATACTGAACCTTAATGTATAAAATACTGTGCCTGAATCGAAACAAATGTCGGTGCACAATAAAACTAACCGGAACCGCGATGATAAATTACAATGAACGTCTTATCGGTCCAACCATCGGTGGGAGGCAGAAAACGAGTCCCCTGTGGATCCATCCTGTAATAAATGCTCATATAGCAAAGTACCCCACATATCTAAGACAATATCCCATTTAGGGTTAGAGAGAAAATATGAGCAAAAAACGACGAAAGGGTTGTAAAGAATTATTAAAGTAGGTAAGAAATGTTTCGATCCATTAAGTTTTAACGATGAAATTGGGATATTTATACAGCTAAAGCAGCTTTTGCTCATAACTATGATCAAATGACGACCTATGCAGTGAGGAATGAAGTCCGTTATTTCAATACAATACAACGAATAACACAAATTCAACATACAACTTCTTCAGCACAGACACAAACAGCAGAATCCCAAATTTACAGGCTTCTAGTGATTGAGCGGCTAATTTCTTTTTATCTTTCTCCTCTTCTTCAGCGAGAATTCTGCTAACGACCTCGGACGCAACCAACCAAAATATCAAACACTCAGTCGGACCCTCAAGCTCCTTGTTCCATTTCCAACCGGATGGCCCCTTATCCTTCCCGAAAGCCTTACTTCTTTCCCCGTGTGACTCACCTACATATATATATTTTTTTTTTTTACAAGCAAAAAGTAATACGGAACATTCTCGAAGAATCCACATTAACGATGAACATGGGATGTTTATATAGCTCAAACAGTTATCGCAGCCGATTTGGCCCCAGTCCCTACACAGTCAGACAAAGTGCCGCATAAAAGATATTATTAAAAGTTGCTGATGCAAAAAAAAGAACTAACAACAAAGCTCGACTTGCACCGGTCACAGCATTCTTGTATTTTAGTCCATGCGCACCCGGGAATGCATGTGTCAGCGTGTTGATGCTCAGGGAGTTGTCCTCGGGAAGCAGTGGCAGTTCAATGCGTTCGCTTTCTTCCGTCTCAGCTACCGTCACATATTCCACATTCTCTTGCTTCTGAAATTATTCAAAAAATGCCGGGAAAATCACCGGGGTTTTCCATATCACTTAAAAAAGGGGAAGAGAATGACTGCCTATAATTTGAGGGCTAACTTTTCCAGCTGGAAAGAACGGCACCATGTGAACTGTAGCCGTCCTAAACTTTCGTGTTTTAAAGACTATTTAAAGACTATGGTTCGGCCTGTCAACGGCCGCAACTAGGTATTAGTG